TCCAAGAACCATCCAGCGGCCGCGATCGTCCAGCCCTCACCGCCGTACCAGCCAACCGCCGTCGTCGCCCAAGAAGCAGGTCAGTCTCTCTCTCTCTCTCTCTTCCGGGTTTGTCCGCGGGTAGGGTCGGGAGAGATGGGGGGTTGGGATGGAGACTGGCGGGAAGAAAGGGCATGGAGACTGGCGGGAGGTGGGAGGAACAAGGTTGGAGACGGGCAAGTCTCTCTCTCTCTCTCTCTCTCTCTCTCTCTCCGGCTTTGTCCTTTCTTCCACGCCGGGAGCTTCGGGAGGAGGTTCGGGGAGGGAGAGGGGAGGTGCGCAGTGGGAGGAAGGAGGCTCAAGGAGTGAGGAATGGAGACTGGCCGGTAGGGTCAGTACGATGTTCAAAACGAGGTTCGGGGAGGTTCGGGAGATTGATTGATTGATTGTTGTTGTTGTTGTCGGTCTTTTGTAGTGAACTGTTGTCGTGCTCCTATCCTTCGAACTTTCAGGGGGGGAGGTCTGGGAGGAGGTTCGGGGAGGGGGGGGGAAGACGTGCGGTGTTAGGGCTGAAGTTCGGGACGAGGTTAGGCACGAGGGCCGGGGAGGTCCGGGAGGACGTTCGGGGAGGGAAGGGGGAAGGCGCGCAGCGGGAGGAACGACGTTCGGGGAGACAAGGGAGGGTGCAGGGCTTGGGGAGATAGGGGGGAAGAGGGAAAGATGGGGGGAAGGGAGGTTCGAGGAGATTGATTGATTGATTGATTGATTGATTGATTGTTGTTGTTGTTGTTGTCCGTCTTTTGTAGTGAACTGTTGTCGTGCTCCTATCTTTCGAACTTCCGGGGGGGGAGGTATGGGAGGAGGTTCGGGGAGGGAGGGGGAAGACGCGTGGTGTTAGGACTGAGGTTCGGGACGAGGTTCGGCACGAGGGCCAGGGAGGTCCGGGAGGGCGTTCGGGGAGGGAAGGTGGAAGGCGCGCAGCGGGAGGAACGACGTTCGGGGAGACAAGGGAGGGTGGGAGGCTCGGGAAGATAGGGGGTAAGAGGGAAAGATGGGGGGAAGGGAGGTTCGGGGAGATTGATTGATTGATTGATTGTTGTTGTTGTTGTTGTCGGTCTTTTGTAGTGAACTGTTGTCATGCTCCTATCTTTCAAACTTTCGGGGGGGGAGGTCTGGGAGGAGGTTCGGGGAGGGAGGGGGAAGACGCGCGGTGTTAGGACTGAGGTTTGGGACGAGGTTCGGCACGAGGGCCGGGGAGGTCCGGGAGGACGTTCGGGGAGGGAAGGGGGAAGGCGCGCAGCGGGAGGAACGACGTTCGGGGAGACGAG